TGATTTTGAGCAACTGTGTGAATTAAGTGCATCTGCAAAAATTCAAGGAGCAATGAAATTTATTTTTTCTGATCCACCTGACATGAAGTAATGAAACACCTTCTTTAACTAGGGATGCAGATGATCAAGTATACACTGAGACAAAAACTTATGTTTTCTTTATGTGGTATTTCATTTATTGTCTATAAAGAATAAATATATCATATAGATACTGATTATTTTATTTTCAATGTATCTTAATCACATACTCCTGATGAGTGAAATATACTCATTTCAGAAGTCAGTCTTCTTTTACAGGATGAAAAGTGTATTTTCATTATCATCTTCCAGCTGACAGTGAGACTGATATAGCAGAGATAGTTGGAAATTCTTCACTAATTACTCCAGAGTTTTATATAAAATTTCAAACAAAGAGAAACATATCACATGCATTTAGAACTGGAAGGATACTGTTATGGAAATCTTCCTACCCCAAACTTCCCTTTTTATAAAGAAGTAATGAGAGATTCCAAAAGTTAACTCAGCTCTTGTCTCTTAAATTTTCAGTGCCTATATCATGTTATCGTAGACAACGAATTTATAACATAGTAACTATTACACTGATAGACAAGGGCAATTCTCAAACACCTACTTTAGTTGGAGGTAGGAAAAGAATACAGTTCATTTCCAAAGTTATTTGAGCTGTAACTTGGAAGTTTTCTGATATAACTGTTAACCTAAACAATTAACTAAAATTCAAGATGGTTAGTCTATGAATTCAGGTAGTCCTTGAATAAGATAGAAACCTAAAATAAGTGAAGGATTTTATTTTAATTCTAGGTTTTATAAAACCATTTTTTAAATTGGCATCAGTTTGATGAGGCTTAGAGAACTTTCAAGAACCAATGAAAAGGGCTGTCAATGGAAAGGCCTTAGAGTGTTGTGAATTAAAATCATTGGCAAAAAGAAGAGAGGCAAACCAATTCTAACTACATCTTAAGTATCAATAGATCTACAAAACAATGCTTTGAGAGTGGGCACAGTCAGAATGTGCACGTAAAAAATTTTGTGGAGAATAAAAAGAGGGATCTCTAAAAAATGAGAATGAACTAAAAAAAAAAAGTAAATAGAGAAATGTTAATCTTAATACTTTTGAATGTCCCATTTGCATTTCTGGTATTCTTAAAAATACTGGCTTATTATGTTCAACCACGTTTTACACTATTCATATGTCTGGCAAGAGTTTTAAAACTCCCAGCAGGAGACAAATGTTATCGAATAGATATATACATACATAATGATCACTTACTCCGTTTGGGCATCTGTAACTACAGATACAGAAATAACAGCATAAACATGTACTCTCATGTTCAAGGAGAGGAGAATCCTAGGTATATTCATTTTATCTTTAAGATATTTGTGCTTATAGTTCAGAACATTGCAAAAATGGTCAATAGAAATACAGCAAAATATTCACAAAATGGGAATGAGATGTGTAAACTTGTATGTGTCATAAAATGTCCCTTACTTTTGGCAAAGAAGATAATTTACTCTGCTAAAAAAAATGACAAAACTAAGGAACTTTTGGACTTGTTTAGATATATTGTTACATTTAAACACCTAATGCCAAGTTTAACTTAAACTACCATAATACATTATAAAGTACATGACTATTATGCCCTTTCCGAGGTATGTATGATTTCAGTTAAATGGGGAAAAAAATGTTTCAAATCACTAAAATTATATGTAAGTTTAAAGTATTAACTATAATGAACTTCTGACTATCCTATCCCCTAATTATAATCAAGATAAAAATACATTCATCAGTGTTACAGCATTTAGAAAAAAAAAACGAAATTTCAACAAGCATATTTATAAAAAAAATGGAGAGGACACAGAGGGTCATTTGAGTATTTAAATAAGTCAATCCAGAGTTTATTTGATTTGTTGTCTTTTCTCATCTTAAGCATTCACATAGCAAGGGTTATTATTCTTCCTAACTTTGGGGAACAGAAAGTATTTCTATTTTCTTACGCCACCTTTTTTATCAACTTAAGCGTCCTGAGCTTGTGTCCAGGCATTAGTCAAGCCAGCCCTGACTTTGAAATGCAAGAGAACAGCCTCACAGTTGATTTTTTTCTTCATATTTTGATCTCTTGCCATGCTACGATTTCTTAAGGTCAAAATCCCTCAAAGCTTTGACCTGAATAGCACTCAAACATTCGGGCACACATGTCCTTTAATGTCACCACGATTGGATACCCTCTCACCTCAGTCACAATTCCTATATCCTACTGGATTTTAACCATTACCAGATTTTCCTCATTCCTTAAACTAATTCTAAAAAGGATTTTTAGAAGACTAAGTATATCATGTCATTAATGGGACTGATTCTCACAACATCTCTATTCCTGCAAACATGCTGGAAAACGTGCATACAAGAGAGCTTTGCTCTTCAAAGTCACAACCTTACCCTCAACATTCTTGGACGTCTTCCCATGTTCTTTCAATCAAGTTCAATTTTACACGCAAGGAAGAAATTCAAGGGCTTTTTTAGTTATAAGATACTAGTTCATGGCTCGCTCTATCTCCCTTTCAATTCCTCTGTCCTCGGGTACCTTCATTTTTATCTTCCTTAGACTCCCAACTCACCTCAGCAGTGATTTGGACTGGGCCTATGATAGTTACTTTGGTGGGGGGGGGGGGCGCGCAATGAACAAAACCAGAAATCGAACTGTAGAAAAGCTGAAGCTTAGTGTTCCAAAAAGCAACCTGCCTAATATAAGTCTATGTATCTGCTTACGATCTGGTATAGTAGTGCATAAATGTTTGAAAATAAAAATTAAAAAAAAAACATAGTGAATCACAAAAAGCCCTCCAGACTCACTGAACAGTATGCCCTATATATCAAGAACACCAGTGGTTTTTTTTTCCTCCAAAATGCTTTCATGTCTGTGACTTTATTTTATTGGCAAATACAGTGGATACATGCTGTACTGTATATTGGACATCATTTTATAAAGAACTGTATGAACCAGAACTAGTGGTTTTTTATTATAGGTTTTGAAAATTTCAAAAACAGGAAGGTGAATAAGTACCATAGGCAGTAGTCTTATAATTTTAGGCCATTAAAAACAAGGTTGCTAAGGTTTTTTACCAACTAGAATAACAAATCAGTAACATTTTGATGATATGCACAACATTTTTTTTAGAAAGTAGGCTCATTCCAAAGAGGTAAGTATATTTAAATACTGCAGTCATAGAAAGGTCTCCAAATTTCCCCATTTCAGGCAGCACTGTGGAAGTAAACCACAACGTGGGTATTGCTCAATGTGTCACTGTCTTGTTAACTCAGGGTTTAGTAAAAATACGGTCTGCAGACTATTGAAGGCTGCATGCAGATTACTGGTTTACTAAGTGAGATTTTCTGAGCATGCAATCTAGGACTATGCATTTTAATCAGTTTCCCAGGTGATTATTATGCAGACTCAAGTTTAAAAAGCACTAGATATAATACAAGTGAACAAGAACATGACCTACTGTTAACAGTTACATCTCCATAAACGTAACCCTTTAAACGGATGCATTTCTAAACAGTTTTCTTTATAAGATAATGCCAATCCTTCTTAACATGGTAACCGACCATTTTGTAGCACCAATAATCTACAGAACCAATGGGCACATATTGGAATGATATCATTGTTGATTTAAAAAGTATCAAATGTTCTCATGTCTCACATATTTATTACATAAATTCCAGTGCTAATGCAAACTAGCCATGGCCAGATCATATATAGTAAGAAGAATTATGACATGGTTATAAAATCACTACTCATTCAAGCAAATGCTAAAAATATATTCACTGGAAAACACATGGAATTTTTATTAATGTCCAATGACTGCATGGGAAATGATTACAATGTACACTCCTTCAAATTCAAAATTTTAAGTATGAATTTAATTTCAAAAGGAAAGTTCAACTGTGACTGAAAATCGTATACATTGCCTGGTAACATTTTCTTAAATTATATTTCTGGAAGAAATATTTTAAACTTCATTTCATCTTTCAACAAACATTTCAAACATTTCACACTTATCAAATGTCAAGTCTCAGGAAAACAAATTCCCTTCACTGTCTCATAACAAAGGAAATGAATGCCTAAAGCTACCGAATGTGGTCATAGCTTTCACAGAGATGTGCTAATGGTGCTTTGAGCTATGGACTACAACCGATTAGCAAAAGTTAGCTTCTATAATGGAAAATAATATGGCATAATGTGTTAAATGCTATTATATATAATGTTAATATTTTGAATGACTACCCACAATTCCACCATCTAATAACATCAGATAACAAAGGTTTCTACTTTAAAATCATCCCATTTCCTTTAAATTACCAAAACTTTTAAAAGTCTTACCAGAAAGCCACATTATGACACTACAAGGGTACACAGATACTTTCCTAATCCACAGCCTGTGTGTCAGTGTTATGATTTAACTGTTCGTGGCACAAAGAACATGCAATGAACAGATCCTTACTCATCCTAATAAAACAGAGTCTTCAGTAAAATCAAAGGACCTGGGCCTGAGCCGTGCTCCTATCACCAACTTCGCCTGGACAATTCATTTTTCCTCCCTACGTTTCATTTTTCTCACATGTAAAATGTAGGGATCAACTAACAGCACTCAAGGTTCTAGAATCTGTGATTTGGGGTCAGGTTGTGATGACACAGTCCCCAGCACTCGGTCCAATTGCTCTAAGTCACTCAGATCCTCATTCCCACTTAACTGGAAGGAATTACACTCTAAGGCAAGAACTAGTTCAGTCAATTAGCACTCACTCCTTCACCTCTCCCACACTGTCCACTAACAAGACAAGCCATACTTTTTATTCAAATGACTACTTTGCAAGGACTAATCCAGTGATATCCTTTGTAGAGTTATAATACTGTTGCCTGGAATGAGGATTTCAAGAATCTCAAAGATGATTCATTACAGGGTAAGTAATTAGGATCACTAACCTGTGCAGAACTTTTTTCAAGTTTTTGGACTAAATTATCCCAACGCTGGGCAAAGTTGTCCAGCCATGCTTCCATCTTTTGGGCTACCAATGTGTTTTTCAGGGTTGAAAGAAGATCTTGGTTGAGTGAACAGAGTTTGTCCATGGTTTGCTTTTTCTTTTCTAAATCTGTTTTTAAAACCTGTTAAAACAGGAAAGAATACATAATAAGCCTCGTAACATTTTATAAAACAGTATAGTTCAAATTGTTTTTGCATGTATTTTCTCATTTGCATAGATACAAAAAGACTGCAATCATGCCTGCAAAGGAGCAAGAGCCCATAAGAATCTAAGTAGAAGATTATAATCCAAATAATCTTCCCAAGAAGCTTGAAGAGAAAGAAAAATAAAAGTCAGATGTAGAAAAACACCTAGTAGAGAAACTTAGGAGCTACTTAGAAATATTTGAGGAACTCACAAGTAAAGAAGTAGTGTTACTCAAAGGGAAGTTTACTTTTAAATTTTTTTAGTATCTGTTATTCAATTAACATTTGGCTATCTGAGTAATTATCTTCTAAAGCGAATTTAAAAGCCCATTAAGTAATAGAACGAAGCAACTGAGTGTGATATAAATCCTTTGGAATCACTTCATATGTTTTCTAAGTACATATGTGTTTTATGGAGTAATTTTGATAACATCCCTATTTTCAAAGTTTTTGTGAGTTATAGAGGGTGACCCACGCCCTTTGGTTGAAATGGAATGAATAAACAAAGTGGCTTATATGAAATCAGTAGATCTGGGCAGCTTATTCTTTCACTTTATCCATTAAGGTCACCCTACACTTTGGGAAATCCAATCTCTGGCTCCCAAACACTAGTTCCGGACTTAGCTTGCCAACAAAGAACAAAAAGAAAGAAGAGGCAATTATTTTATAGCTTCTTTGCTATAATCCCCTCCTTTTCCCCTCCTTTTCGCCACAACAAGTACAATGAACATAAAGTGAACAGTGAGACCTGTCTTTCCAAAACAAATGCAAATTTAAGAATGACTAATATTTCACATGGCAAATAAATGATCATGGAACAGATGTACCAATTGCTAATGAACTGACATGTCATGTACACAGAGAAATTAATACACCACCTCCCATGCAAGGGACACTTTATGTAGCTCATTCTGGCATGCTGCCTGCACTGACGGCTCTGAAGAATGTTCTGGGAGTTCATCCTTTATTCAGAATCTGCTTCACCTGGTGTACTTTATACTGAATTCCTAGTGCATGCCACTTTTAAGGTATAAAAGCTAGTTGTGAAGTTCATTTCTAATTTTTCCCTCAACAATTATGGTTTTTTTCACTGTTTTCTCTCAGTTTGAAAGAATGCAATAAATCAAAATGAGTTAAGATTCATAAGATGAATGCATATCAAAATAAAACTTTCACTGTAGTAACTTAGTAATGCATTGGTTTTATATGTTGATTTTTGTTTGTTTAATCCACATTAGCTCTCCATTAAATTTAAATGCATTTTGGTCTAGTAATAAAACAATACTTTATCCTACCTGTCTAGAGCTGGGACCCAAATTTGAATTTGTAGATTCCTCCAATCCCTTTATGGCATCCTAATCTTTTTTTTTTTTTCTTTTAATTTTTGGCATGTATTTGTTTTGTTATAAGCCATTTCAGGTTTTTTTGGGGGGAGGGAAAGGTTATGATAGAATTAAAGGCATGCATTTTAAAATATAAAGATGTAAATACAATCCTCTTTGGCTCTCTCAGGGCTTCAGGAGCTAATTTAAATAGCTGTATGCACAAGGCTAAGGGGTATGCCATTATTTAAGCTAAATATGCAATGATTTGGAAACATTTCAGAACAAGGAACTGAGAGTTATGTCTGAAGAAGAGGAAACAATTTGTGTTGGAAATTCATGGGCAACTTCATATCATGTAAAGAGTTTTTCTTAGATGATCTATAAAACTAATTGGATACCCAAAGAGATTTAGTGGCAAATGACAGTAAGCCTCCTGTGTGAAGATTAAGCCCAATGAAGAAACACTTGGTGAGCATCACAAAAATAAAGGGAAAGGAAGTCAAATCACCATTAAAGAATACCTTTAGGAAAAAATGGATTCAAGGTGAAGTAAAAACATTATTATAATCAAATTGTGGAATTACTGAATTTACATATTTTTACCTAAATCCATACAAGAGCACTGTACTAAAGAAAGCTTCTAGCTAGTAAATTTTAAATCTATAGTTTTAAAAATGGTGATGTCAGGTTAGTTTTCAGTTTGTTTCCTTTGTTGGGAGAATATTTCTTTCTCTTTCTTCATGAATTCCCACTACCCAAAGGACTCTCCTACCACACCCAACAGAGGGAGAAGACAAGAAATCCAGGTGCTGCCGGATGCACTGAATCACGGTATTGAAGTACCTTCTTCCATCTATCCTTGGCTATCAACACTTGGATGCTTCCATTTTATGTGTACATATTAAATTACTATGATTTAATTGCTGTTTATTATTAGAGTATAAAAAAAGATGTATCTCTGCTTATCAAAAACTAATTACAAGTGTTTGAGTGCCAGAGAACCACAGAGTTCTGGAAAACTCAGGAAGAAAAAGGAAGCTCTAGAAAATTTACACATGGCAGAGGTCACCCAGGATTTTAAAAGAAGAAATATATTTTATTTGCAAAGAGGCCAAGCAGTTGGACCTATAACCAAAACAGGCAGGGAGGTACAGTCAATAAACCAGATTAGGCCAGTAGTAAAGAGGGACGAGAGATAGATAAGCTGCCCGAGAAGACAGAACAGACATATTCTATGTGGTCATTAAAAGATGATTTCAAGTGCAAAATGAATGTATCCTTACAAACAGGCCAGGAAATCCCTGGGGGAATCAGAATCACCTAGAAGCCTTTCTAAAATGCAGATTTCTGGGCCCAACTCCCAGGCCCTCTGAGTCAATAGGTCTGGGATGGAACCTAAGAATTTGCATTTCTAACAAGTTCTCAGGTGATGCTGATGCTGCCAGTCTGGGGACCACACTTCTTGAGAACCATCGATTCTACTTGGATTAATTGGTAACAGGAGGTGAGGTTTCAAGTCTTGGTACCAGCGCTATCAGCAGGGACCTGCTGAGCCACTGTAAGTACTTCAACCCTGCCGTGTGCTCACAGCCACTTGAGACTGTCCTCAATTCCACAGTCCGCTGTAGCCCCTGCACACCCTAGGCCTGTGGACCACCATGCTTCCCAGGGTGGTCCTTCCCCGGAAAACACCACAGGTCCTCACGGCAACAGAAAACTCACCCAGGAACCTATTTCTTTTAAATTTGGGCCTTCCTGTGATAGCCTAACTGATTCTGTTTTAGAATCCGCCTAAGGGCCACAGTTTCTTCTCTCCTTTGCTTTTGATCATTTACATCAAATAAAAAATCAGTTTTGACCGTGAAAAATAATAGATCTACATGGTTTGGATAAAAGCACAGATCAAGAGGAAATGAAAAACCTGACTCCTCATTTCCCACCTCAAATGAAAAGTAGGAGAACATCCCATGGGCTATTAGTGATAATATTTCAAAAACAAATTGCACTGATTATAAATAAAAGAGTTTGAGCACACTGTATCTATACCTAGGTATGTAGTAGGAACTGGTGACAGATGGTACCTGTTTTGGGTCTCAGATTGTGACATATTTTAATGAACATTAAATTCTTATTCACTGCCTGAGTCAGCAGGGGAATTTTACCTCAAATTCTAGACCAGCTGTCAGATTTTGTTAATTGGCTTAAACTATCAAACGGTAAGACTTATACAAAACATATTTTCACTTTGTTCACAAGTCAGGTGACATAATTTGAATTTTAATCATACTGGATAATTACTGAGCATTTTCATGGTCCTGAGGTTAGTCAAGTCTTTTATTCACAAAAATGTCAACAGAGTAGTACTTGACTGTTAGAAATCATGGTTCTCGATCACAGTTCTTTTTTTGTTAAGGAACCAAATGATATGAGGAGTTCTGAAATAGCTTAAAAGGGCTGGACCTGAGTCTGGATGTCTTGGTGCTCAATTTGACTCTGCTACTAATGCTCTTTGATAGCTTATGCATGCCGTGTGTGTGTGTGTGTGTGTGTGTGTGTGTGTGTGTGTGTGTGTGTGTGTGTGTTTTCCCCTGGGCCTCAATATCCTCTTCTGAAATAACCTTGTCTAGTTCCTCCTTTTCATACCCAATGCTACTTAGTTCAGTTCCACTAACTGGCCTCCTTACTACCCAAGAGTATTCCAAAAATGCAAATATGAATTGTATCAAGTTCTCAGCAGCTCCTCATCAGCTGTGGAACAAAATTACAAATACATCACTGACATTTTTGCATTCTTTTGATACAAATACAGATCACTTTTCTGAAATTTGTCTTTAGTGGTCAAATGACTCCAGAAAGTATATCTTTTTTGAGGAGTGAATTCTCATCCATAAGAAACTAGCTTGTGATGACAAGCAATATATTTGTGAATCAATTTTAAATTAAAAGCCTAAAGATCAGTAACTATGGAGCAAAAATATATGATACAAATCAATATTTGGGAAAATGATACACATTTAACTGGGGAAACATATTTAAGATCAGCTTTAAATAAATGATTTAATTATGTCATACAATATCAATACAGATATAAATCATTTCATTTAGGTAAAATTATAAAATGTTATTTATAACAGACCTTTGTTTTATATTAGAGTTAACATCAAGTTAGCATTTAAGAGAATCGCTCTATCAAAACAACAAGAAGAAATTCTAACTTTGGAATATTTTATTTGAAAAATTAAGCTCTTAATATTACACTGCCCTCTACTACACAGCCAAATAATCAAGTTCACAGTGGAAGAGAAGCTTTAGAGGTCTTTTCTAATCCTCTACGTTTTCACTCAAACTAAAATATCTCATTGAAGCCCTCTGTGATGTTCTTTTATTGCCAAAGTTCCCTTATTTTTCAAAACACACAGGCACTTATAATTAATGCTACTGGTTTGCTTTAATATTTTTTCTAATTTTCCAAATGAAGGTCTAGGCCCCTTATGTGAGGATAATCACTTCTTATATTTCGATCTCTCAAAGAATTTAATTTAGACTATTACTTTAGAACCACATACTGTTTAGAACTATACAGAACATTCCTATGTACTTCTCAGTGTTACCTTTTTATTTTAACTGAATTCTTATTCCAGGGATGGTATATTTTTTTCAAAAGTACAATTGTTTTTTGAAAACCACAGTTGCCAATCTGCCTACATCTAATGTAATTAATGTTCGTATTCCTCCAAAATTCATGAAATGAGGGCTGAAGCCTTTACTGTGGTAATATTAGGAGAATGGGCTTTTGGGAGGTAATTGGGTTTAGATGAGGAGAAGAGAGTAGAGCACCACAATGGGATCAGTGCCCTTAGAAGAAGAGGAAGAGGCATCGGATCCTCCTCTAATTCTGCTGCTATGTGAGGATACAGCTAAAAGACGCTAAGAGCCAGGAAAAGGGACCTTACCAGGAACCAAATCTGCTGGCACCATGATCTCATACTTCCAAGCTTCCAGAAATGTGAGAAATAAATGTCTGCCGTGTAAGCCATCTAGTCCGTGATATTTTGTTACAGAAGTCTGAGATGTCTAAGACAGGAATTGGTACCAAGAAGTGGGGTACCACTGTAACAAATACCTACAAATGTGTATACAGCTTTGGAAGTGAGTAATGGGTAGAGGCTGAGAGCGCTCAGGTGCTCTAACCTGCAAGGTGCAGGTTAGAGAAGGTTGAGATTGCTGTGAAATGACTCCTAAAGGCAATTCTGTTGAGGGATCAGAGAAAGAGACCTGGAAAGCGTCCTGTTTTTAGAGAATACATAAATTAAAACGGACAAAATATTAGTATCAATATGGATGGCAAAAGTCATTCTGACGAGGTCTTAGATGAAAATGAGGGTGATGTTATTGGCAACTGGAGGAAGGATGATCCTGATTATAAAGTGGCAAACAACTTGGCTGAATCGTGTTCATGTTCCAGCATTTTGCGGAAGGTGGAACTTGTGAGCAATGAAATTGAATATTTAGCTGAGGAGATATCTAAGCAAAGTGGCATGATTTCTCTTGCCCATGGTAAAATGAGAGAAGAGAGAAATGAATAGAACAAGAGTCATTTGGCATAAAGGCACTAGAATTTAAAGATGTGGCAAATCCTCAGCCTATCCATATTGCAAAGAATGAGAAAATATGTTCAGAAGAGAACACTAAGGGTATGGCTGACTGACCACTTGATAAGATTAGTGTGGGTGGGAACCAGAGACCTCATCAGCCATCTCAACAGAACCCAGGAATAGAGATGGAATTATACCAACAGAAACACTGCCAGCTGAGACTAAAAGCAATGGAGAAAAATGGACAGAATGAAGGAAGGCTGTCTAACATGTGCTATTCCTAAAGAAAAGTGAAGAATAATGTAGGTGATTCCGAGTTATAAGACGTACCACTCCCACCACAGGCCCAGAGAGCAGAGCTAGTGCTTCCTGGGTTTCAAAGAGTGGGTCTACCTCTCCAGTCCACGGGGCAGGATGCCCCTCCCCAGTACCGCAGGAGCAGAGCCACTGGGTAGGGCTGCTGCAGAGGGCCACATGGGTGGTGCCCCGTGGAACTGAACAGACAAGGCTAACTTGTGGAGTCCTGGAGGTGAGGCTGCTTCTCCAGTGGTCCTGGAGGGCAGTGCATCAGTCCAAAGAGGATTATTCTTGAGGCTTAAGATCTAATGGAATTTTCTTTGCTGTGTTTTGGACCTATTTGGAACCTGTCACTCCTTCCTACTTTCCTTTTTCTCATTTTTGGAAGGGGAATGTCTGTCCTCTGCCTGATGCACCAACATATTTTGGGAGCGCTTAACTTGCCTGGTTTCATAGTGTCACAGCTAGGTAGGAAGTCTGCCTCAGGATGAATTGCACCTGGAGTCTTACCACATCTGATTTAGATGATGATGAAACTTTGGAATTTATACTGCAGAGCTGATTCTGGAACCAGTTAAGACTTCTGGAGCTCATAAGATAGAATGAATGCATTGTGCATGTGAAAAAGATATGAATTTGGGGGGGTCTGTGGGTGTGATGTTATAGACTGAATGTTTGTGTCCCCACAAAGTTCAGATGTTGAACCCTACCCTCACACACTTACATAAAATGTGATGGTAGTAAGAGGTGGGGCCTTCGAGAGGTTATTAGGTTTAGATGAGATCATAAGGGTGGAGACCTCATGTTGGAGCTCATGCCCTTATAAGAGGAGGAAATGGGTGAAGGTTGATCAAAAGGTACAAACTTTCAGTGATAAAATAAATAAGCATGGGGAATGTAATGAGCAGAATGGTGACTACAGTTAATAATAACAACATAATGTGCATCTCAGAGTTGTTAAGAGGATAGATCTTTAAAGTTCTCACCACAAGAAAAAGAATATACCTGGGTGAGGTGATGGGTGTTAACTAATCATGGCAGTCATTTTGTAATACATACAAACACTGAATCATTATGCTATACATCTGAAAGTAATGTGATATGTCAATTACATCTCAATTTAAAAAATTAATTTAAAAAATATAGGAGATGGGCTAGATGGCCAATAGGTATTAAGGAGGGCACTTGTGATGAGCACAGGGTGTTGTATGTAGTGATCAACCATTGAATTCTACCGCTGAAACCAATATTGCACTGTATGTTAACTAAAATTTAAATTAAAAAAAAATAAACGTGGGAAAGAGACACCAAAAGTTTCCTCTCTTTCTACCACGAGAACACAAGGTAAGAAGGTGCAGTATGCAAATCAGAAAAGGGTCCTCACCAAAAACTAAAGCTGCTGGCAGGTTGATCCTGGACTCCCCAGCTTCCATAAGCGTGAGAAATAAATATTTGTTTAAGTCACCCAGTCTATGGTATTTTATTATAGCAGCCCAAGCCATCTAAGATAATATAGCTGTTCCTATTTTAAAGAAAATTTACAATATGATATAATTGAACAGACTATGATTTAAGCCACAACAATGAGTATTTGGTTTAAGATCGGAAATAATAAAGAGACCAAATTATGGTGTTACTGTCAACTATTTGTTTTTTTTTTTTAAAGTTGTGAACGCTAAAAAATACATACAGCCAGTTTTTGAAGACTTGATAACATTTCACTTTGATCCTTAAAGCCAGTTGTGTGAATCTTGTTCAATGCATCTTCTTTTTCTGAAAGCCATGCACTAAAAAGGCACTGAAAGAAATAAAATAATTCCAAAAAAGAAAATAAATAATTACTAAAGTAGATCATCATATGCTTTTTTTTTCCCATTGAAAATCTCACCATATCTTTCACTGACACAACTTCCCCCACATGACTCACCTGTTCTTCGGTAAAACGCTGCCATTTCAGGAGGATGTCTTGTAAAAGAACCCAGCGATCTTCTGTCCATCTACAGATGTTTGCCCATCTATCTCCCAGTACCTGGGGGAACAGACAACCCATCACCACATCAGCAGACAATTAACTGTTAACTGAATTTCATTTAAAATTGCATGATTGAGGTGGCTTAGTCTGTTAAGCGTCCAACTCTTGATTTCAACTCAGGTCATGATCTCATGGCTTCTGGCATACAGCCTCCTAATCACTGGGTTCTGCACTGACAACATGGAGCCTGTTTGGAATCCTCTCCATCTCTCCCATTGCCCACCCCCCAACTCATAAGTGCTCCCATCTCTCCCTCTCTAAAATAAATATTTAAAAAATAAAAATAAAATAAAATTTCATGAATGATTTGTGACAGTATCTAATTATGAGTCTCCTATGTATACTAGGAGTTTAAGGACACCCTTCGTGATTTGCTTATAATGACATACGTATCAAGCCTTTCATTTGTCTTTAGATTATTTCATTCACTCTTTCAAATTACATTGAAAAGTAAAGATACTTACAAGAAGTTTGAGGCAGTTATCATACCACTATTTGAAATGTCTCCATGGTAAATGTAAGAGAGCAAAGCCATAAATATAGAATTTAAGAGGATTTTGTATTGATAATATGTGAAATGGGTATCTTTCTCAGGTCTGAAAACATATACCAAAGGATAAAAGTCTGACTACTAAATAGAATACCTAAAGACTCTTCTGGAAAGTAATGCTGTGTAATTAAAATTGCTTAATGTCTTGATTGTAGAAGAAAATTTCAATTTAATTTACTTCCACATGTGGACTTTAAAAATTACCTAGATTATTATTACAAACTATTTAAAATCACTCTGTCTCTAAAGTATTCTAGAGAGAAAATTTTAATATTTGCTGCATAGTAACTGCCATATCCCTAGCATGTTACTAATATTTATATACACACACTATTTGAATATATTACATAAACCAACTACCAATGGTATGTATATATGAATATATGTATGTCCATATGTATATATTTGCTGGATGCTGGAGACAAACATCTTTATTAAAGATACTATCAAAATTTTGACAAACATTTCAAAACAGATTTGCAAACAGTGCTTCCCTTTCCAACAGGCAGCGCCGTGAAAAGTCAATACGGTAAGACAACACAACTTGAATCAACATTAGTTCAAAATCCTTGTATTTTTGACCACATAACTTATGTTCCCACATGATAAAACAAATGATAGCTTAAATCAACATCAACAGGTAAACTCAATGCAATGAAAGTGCGTGCTGTTTGATGAATTCATGGTATGATATGGTTAAATGTATCCACTCCTGTTTATACTCCTGGCTCCCAGGATGAAAAAAACAAACAAAAAAAACAAAACAAAAAAACTCTAAATATACATTTCATGCCAATAATAGTTTCTTTGCATATCTCTCTTCAAAAAATACTTTGTAGCAGTGTATAAGCAGGTTACCTTCAAGTTTAACTTTACGACTTTGCCCCCAAACTATAGATCTGTTTCATTTTCTAACAGATTGATTTTGCCCAACATTAATAAAGCTGCCAAACTGGTGAAACGGAAACGCTTTTGTCTCCCGCAAGAGAAGTAGCAATTTGACAGAAAAAGAAATCCCTATGATAACACTCATCAGTTGCTTAACCTGAGGGTTTGACCTACAGAGAGAAGCAGCATTTTTTTCCTCGATGCACGCTCACATGCACACCACCTCTACACACATGCAGCCTGAGCACACACTTTCAGACACCAGGAGGCACAGTATGCTTCCCATTGCTCTAACCAAGTGGGAAGCAGTGTAGCTAATGATGAACCACACCATGTACACAACTAGCAAACACCTTAAGGCAACCACTGCAACGGGGGGTTAACTTGTAGGGTGGATTTACTGTTCTAGATCAAATCAGTCTGTATGTACATGTGTGTGTGCATACCTATACACATACAAATACTCATACACCTTTCTATTCCTTAACCCTCTGAAACAATATTTTCTTTGCATTCTGTGCAAATTTCTAAATATTCTACCATTTAAGGCAAAGACTTGGTATTAAGCAACGGCAGGAAATGGCTTATGTTTATCTAAAACCTTTTCACCTTGCACATTACTGGGTTTTTTTTTTTTTAAACATGCGTAACTTTGAAGTACACACATTGAATTCTCAATATCTAAAAAAAAAAAACATTTCTAATGATAAACACAAGTTTTTAAGGAGAATAAAAACTCATTTGAAGTAGTGACATTGGATCCACAATATTAAAAAAATACATTTCTATTGACACACATAAACTGGTAGGAGGCAGAAAAAACCGTGTCACAAATGCAGGGAACGAAAGTCCAATGGGGAGAAAATCACTCAAGTTTACTAAGAGTGAAACTTTCAACAAGCAAAGTCTCATTTTTAGAATCTTAGAGCAACTCATTTGGAATTTTAAATACAACCAATCAAAATTGCAGCAGCATTCTTCTCAAAGCTAGAACAAACAATCCTAAGTTTTGTATAGAACCACAAAAGACCCCCGAATAGCCAAAGTAATGTTGAAAAAGAAAACCAAAGTGGG